AAGGCATATGTTGGTGGTGTGGGGGGGCAAATCTGGGGGAATGATTGCCCCCTAGCATCTCCAAAGCGGGCACGCGCTCTGGAGTCCTTCTCCCCTGTTGTTGCTGCTGTTGGTGCCGGGGGATGTCGAGGACTGGGGAGTTTGCCCTGTTAATCCCCCGTATGTTGACAGAGAGGCGCTGATTCGCCATAGATCAGTCCCCCAATCCGGAGAAGATGGGACGCCTTCCCACCTCAATCCAAGGATTGGGGTTGTCATCCTGCTGCAGGGAGGCGGGCTGCGAGGAGTCCTCAGTGGTGACAACATAGACACCTTCATCATTAGTACAGCTGTATTCAATACGGCGTGTAATGTACCTGGACGGCAATGCGGGAGGCGGCGGTGGTGCCATCCTCTGTGTTGCTGTAGCGGGATGAGAAGTCCTTGCTTGTTGTGCGAGAGGCACAACGTTCACAGGTGCTGCGGGAGCCACCTGGCAGATTGGGGGAGAGTGGATCCCAGGAGTCGCCCTTTAGCGAGGGGGTGATTGATAGACCATCCGCGCCGGTCTCTCCTCCACCAAAGGAGCGTCAATAGAGCCTACTCTCAGAGAGCGAGATCTGGAATTCACTGGAGAGATAGGCCGAGTGGCCTGAGGAGCCACAACAGCCGCATGCTGGGATTGCAACATTGGGAGCACCTGCTGCAGTCTAGTGATGAGGGCGCCAACCGCCGCAGAGGGATCCAGCATCAGAAGGTTTTGGAATTGTGGGATCACCTGAGCGGACGACATTGTCGCTGCATCATGATTGAAGGAGATCTGTTGGCACAGATCTGGAGAAGTACGCTGGATCTGACTGCGTAGATCAACAGAAGGTCCATCGACTTGTTTCCCCTTAGCGGCCCTCCTAAAGCCGGAAGTCGCAGCAGCTTCCAGCGAGGGCTCAACCTGCGCGACGGTGGCAGCAGCACGTCGAGTTCTGAGAGTTTTCTTTCCCGCCATTGTTATGGAGAAACTCGCTGTGGATCTAAAGAAAATTGGGAGGATCTGACTTGTTCACAGTTCGACTCTCAATGAAAGCACCAAAAATGATGGATCGTCGGACCGGGGGTGGTCGGAATCCACCGAGAATGAAAGTAAAAGGGGAGAGCGAACTGGACGGAAAAGTCAGGTATTTGATTTAACAAAATCCCGGTGTATCGGTCTCAAGAGTGCAATAGATTAAGCCTCTAGAATTCGATCCCTTTCCACAAGTTGGAAGGTGATATTTATACTAAGGAGAAAGGAAAATACTTGGTGCCCAAGTAAAAGATACTAGTCTAATAGGAGAGGGACACGTGTAAAGCTACTCTAACAAACTACCAGACTGAATGAACCGGGAGCAACCACGTGGAAAGCTGATTGGAAAGAGAACTTCTGATAGCTTGGTTGATTGGTTTATTCTTCGTAACAGAATTCCTGCCAGAGATCTTGTGTAGTCGTGTGCAGTCAATCTGGCGTATTCCACCAGTGCGGAGAGTGATGTGGCGATGTTTCCTCACGACTTAAGCCCTTGCGGATTTCGCCTAAGTACAGGGTGCTTTCCCCCCGACCTCGAGGGTTACTGAGGTCGGTATCTTGGGGCTCGGGCCCATATTGAGAGGACTCGTTTTGCTGTCTCCCGTCCTCGCTCTGGAGGTGACTTGGTCGCCTGGTGCTTTGATTGGTGTTGACCTGGAGCAAGACTTCTGAGGTCAGATTTGATGCTGACCTCGGATGTTCCGAGGTCGGGCTCATGGATCGCCGAGTTTGGTTGGCTCCTGAGCTCGATGTTTCCCGACCTCGAGGTCGAGGCCGGGGGTTGGTGGACCCTGTTATCTTCTGAGTTTACTTGATTCATGAGCCTGGTGTTTCCCGACCTTGGCGGTCAGGGTCGGATCCAGGTGCGAACTTAGTATATTCTTGCCCCCGATGACCCGCAAGGCTTTCTGCCAGCGATCGCGGTACCCCTAGGGTGTACGGGAATATACTCCATCAGAACTGTTCCTCTTTTATTTATTTTTAATTTCTGTTAATTTATTCGAATATGATTTCCATTTTGTATTTTTTATCTGAATTTTTGAATTCAAAATCTTTGGGAATGAAAGTTCAAGGTTCCTGTGATCTAAATGTTATTATGGAGTTGTAAATAGAATGCCATATTTATGGCAATTTTTTATGGAGATGAAAATATTACATATTTGAGAATGCCAAAATTTTGACATTTTCACAAATTGTGGCATTTTTATGACATTGAATTGAATTTATTGGCAACATACTTCATTTTCTTCTCCTATTCCACATTTTCCACTCTAAAATGTGAAAATGCCATAATTTATAATCTTATATTCCATGTTTTTGCATACAAAAATGCCATTTGTTGTCATTATTGCTATCATAAATGTAGTTTTGCAAAAATTGATACAATACAGAAGAGGTGGCTGATTAAGAAGATGTCAACATCGATCTCCAGAATCTAATAGTGGCATCACTCTCACTGTCGGACGGGTAAGTGCAGTGGAGGTGTGCAGTGGCGATCTCGGTGGCAGCGGCGGCGCTCTCACTTGGCTGCGGTGGCGGCGCTCTCACTTGGCTGCGGTGGCGGCGCTCTCACTTGGGTGCGGCGGCGGCGGCGCTCTCACTTGGCTGCGGCGGTGGTTTCAACGGCAACGATCGTGCACCCAGGGGCTGAAAGTTTCACCGTTTGCAGTTTAGGCTTCGATGAAGGAGCTGGGAGAAGATTTTATTTTTCTTTTTGACTCTTTGTCTTCATTAAGGGCAATTATGTCTAAGCAGTTCATTTTTGGTCCTATAGAATATGAGAGTCATATTTGTGCACTTCAACATGGATTTAGTCCTATTTAGAGAATTACCTCAATTTAAAAACATAGAGACTTAAGGCTTGCCTAATTGCCTTCATAATATTGGGGGGTGTGGGTGGGGGTTAAATTATTTTTAATAGTAATACATGAAAAAATAGGGGGGGGGGGGGGGGGGGGGGGGGCATGGCCCCCTTAACCCACTTCATAATATTTGTTTGTTTTCCTTTGTTTTCTTTTTTCCTTTGTTCTTCCTTTTCTCTCTTACTTTCTCTTTTCTTCTTCTCTTCGTTCTTTCTTCTACGTTCCCAGCCTCGCCCCATGGATTCACATCTGGCTTACCAGCGAAAGATGTCCTTTGCAACCGCCGGAGAAGATAACTGCATCGTGATAGACCAAACGGATGTTGGCCAGACGGATGTTGACCAGCCGGAGTCATCTACTCTTCCAACCAGTGGCGGACCCAGAAAGTCAGAACCACGGGGTCCCTACCCTTTTATATCTTTTTTCTTCTTTTTTTACTCCAGGGGGGTCTGGGGAAGGGGGGCGGGGAGGGGTCTGGAGTCCTGGAGTAATCAGGTCTGAAACTCACTCCATTGAGTTTCAAACCCTTATGTGCAGTGGCGGAACTAGGGGGCGAGCCGGTGCCGGCGCCCCCCCTTCTCCGGCGGTGGTTCTGTATGTATTATATGTATATATCTCAGCCCCAGTTCAGAAAGTATTCATATATTAAATTGGAGTCTCTATTTGAGCATATGAGGTGTGATAGTTCAAATGGTAGGGTGGAGGTTGGGACAACTCTGTCTACCTAAATGGTTCGGGTTCAATTCTCAGGAGCAACAATATTTTTTGCTTTCTCCATTATTGCTTCTTTAGACTTTAGCCCATTTGGTAATTATTTATGTTCAATTAAATCACTCTAGGATGTAATGTTGTTTAAATCACACTTTTTGAATTTCTATATCTTTTATTTTAAATTCTCATTTCTTCAATTCAAATTAATTTTAATCATTTCTTCTTCTAATAATGACATATACGGACGTTGTGTCAAGAATAATTCTAAAACTACTTTAAGTTAATATAATTATTTACCTTTTATTTAGTATAATAGCATTTTTATTTGAGCACACTACATATACATATATATAAGTTTCGGATCAAATAAAAAGAGTTCTTATCGTGAAAATTGATCGAGAATAAATCTTGTGCATTTAACTAGAGATCCGATGAGTCAAAATCAGTCAACAATGCACTATATTTTATCAAAAACTCGGTGACAATTTGATAAATAAATCAAAATTTTATATCATTGTGAAAAAGTGTAAAATAAATATCTACTAGTGTACCAAAACGAGTAAAAAATGCGTCTGTTCTCATTTTTCACGGGAATAACTCTTTTTAATAGAACCTCACTCTATATGTATTAATAATTATTTTTCACTCGTTTTTATTATATCCTAATAAAAAATTGTTTTTCAAAATAAAATATAAGAGCACCCCCTCAAATTATTGTCTGGTTCCGCCGCTGCTTATGTGCCTAGCGAGTTTTGAACTCGAGACCTCCCACTAGGCATGATAATAATACAAGTATAAAACTAATAAATAAATTGATTCAATTCTTCATTTACTAATGGCGAATCATTTGAATTAACACATGAACTACTCCCGGGACTCTAGGTTTCTTTAAATTTGGGTACAACATCAAAATATCTTTTCATCGTAAATCGTATAAAATTGAAAATAACATTTATAAATACATGAATTTATTAATTTAATCTAACATTAAAAAAAAGATATGCAAAGAAAAGCAGCAAAGAAAAAAAACCCGGGCGACTGATGTGCTTATATTTTACACACTTTTTAGGCTTAGTTTGTTGATAATTTTAGTTATTAAAGTTGTACTTTTGTACATATTTTTATTATTTGTCGTTAATTTGTATTAGTGCAGTCTTATGCGTGTATTATGTATTTTCTGATACATTTGATGTTATTTGGATACATTTAGCGTGAAGAAATGAAGAAAATAAAAGTTCAAGTTGGAGGATAACAAACGTGAAATTTCTTTCAAAGAAAATAAGGTGTAAATTGGAGAAAAATAGCAAAAATTAAGAATGATGGAGATGGGATTCGAACTCTAGTCATTTGAACAAAGAAAGACATACTCAACCAATGAGCTAAATGAAGCAAGTTGAAATTTTGTTGGAAATTCGTATACATTGTTCAAGCCCAGTACTGAAAAAAAGAATAAAAAGAAGAAGCTGGGTTTCGAACCCAATTGTGGAATAAGCGACCATCACCGCTGCACTGTTTCATTCTTTTGATGCTAAGGTTGTTTTTTGTGTAAATATACAATGAATAATTAATTTTATATAATATATATATAGGTATTTTTTTCAAGGTGCACGGGATCCCCGGACCCATGGGACCCTTAGTGGGTCCGCCTCTGCTTCCAACTCCTAGCTTCCCACAATCTCCGTCGCTACCGGCCACTCATCCAACTCTGGAGCTTACAATTCCTGTGACGCTATCCCTTTCGAGTTCATATTTTCAGTTTTCTCTCCCCATTCATTCTCATCTGACCTCAATTCCTTCTAAATAATTTCCATATGAGTATATGACGGAGAAAGAACCATCCTAAAGAAGTCCACGGAGGTTAGCATGAGCGGCGGAGAAGGGCAGCGAAGCTCGAACAATCAGCCAGTTGTAGAAGAAAATAACTTTTGGTGAAATTGGGATTGTGAAGTAAGCGGTGAAATCGCCGGGTAAAGGAGCGGTGGTGGGCGCAGTTGCGGTGGTGGACGCGGTCATCATGACACAAACCTTGAATCCCCGGCCTGTTTGAATTGCATGTGTGCGAATGGAAAGAAGTGGGAGAAAGAAGGAAAGACAAAACGTAAAGAGTAAAAGTAAAGAGAAAATATTGTGAAAGGGAAAAAGAAAAAAAAAGAAAAGCAATGCCACGTGGCTGGAACATAGGTCATTAACCGGGTAATGAGTTTTTTTCCGGCCGAAATGCCTAATTGAACAGCTTTTAAGAGTTTGAGGTTTCGATTGCGCGTTTTCAAAGTGCGACGGCCTAATCGACATTTTTACTATAGTACATGAGCTTATTTAACAGTTTTTCCGTAAATCGAAATATCATATTTTAGTTTTTTAGTCTAATTAATCTTTGAAATTTTATTATAATTGTTAATTTATGGTACTCTATTATTGTTTTTTATGAACCTCTATATTATACTCGGTATATATTTGTAAATTATACCATATATTATATCCTCTTCGTCCCACTGGACTTTGCCAAATTTCATTTGGTGTTTGTCCCAAAAAACTTTGACACTTTCTTTTTAAAACAATGTTTTTGTACTTTTGTTCATTTCTCTCTCTTCTGAACAAATCTCAACCACACAAATTTTATTATTCTAATTTTCTATCTATTATCAACTTGTCAAAGTCGAGTCAGATGGAGGTAATACGTTATAATAACAATTTATTATTATTATTATTATTATTATTTTTATTATTACTACTACGGAGTATTATTTATAAGAAACTGTTCTGTTCGTCTTATTCTTATTAGTTATTGCTTATTCTTATTTTAGTCAAATCAGATCAGATCGAAAAAATTCAGATCAGATCAGATCAGAAATATTCAGATTAGATCAAATCAGAAGCATTCAAATCAGATCAGTAAGATTAAGATCAGTAAGATCAGATCACATCAAAAAATTCAGATCAGTTCCGATTAGAATTAATAAATGAATGCAGGTGTAATTTTTGACGTATCGGCTCCGTGCAAGATCTAACTTCCCAAGAACTTCAACAGACTGAACGTTTTGCAGATAGCATTGTCAGAAAGCAATTTTAATAAATGAATGCAATTTTTAGAAGAAGTTTTCTAAAGATTCAGCTATGAGAACATTGAGAAAATGGAATCTTCTTCAACATGGATCCAAACTTTGTCATTCTCTTTTCTCACAATAGCCTTCCTTCATTTGGTTGACGTACTGATTATATCCCCAAAACTCACCCTCAATCCCCAAAATGTCAGAGTCAAGAAGCTGCCACCGCTTCCCCTGCGGTTCAACTCTGATGGAACTTTCAAAATCCTTCAGGTATAATATGCTTTTCCGGTAACATGATATCAGGACATCTAGGGGCGTAAAATTTTGTAGATTTTGTTGTTATTGATTGCTCTGACTAGTGAGGTGAAGATTTGGGTATATCGTTAATTTTCAGGTAGCTGACATGCATTTTGGAAATGGACTGGTGACTAGATGCAGGGATGTGCTGGACAGTGAGGTCGCGTACTGTTCAGATCTCAACACTACTCAGTTCCTTGAAAAGATGATTCAACTAGAGAAGCCTGATTTCGTTGCTTTTACGGGTATTCTATTGTTGATTTAGTCACATAAATACATAACATTGATACACTATGCAAGACTGACTGTTGAACTAAAGAACATCTATTTGGGGTACTGGATAAGATAAATGTACAGAATTTTTAGCTTAATGTTTGATATGAGATGTCTTTCAGAATTAACTTTAGGTAAGTGATAACAAAGGAATAGATATGAGATGTCTTTCAGTTCCTTGAAAAGATGATTCAACTCGGAAAGCCCAATTTCATTGCTTTTACAGTTTTACGGATGTTCTATTGTTGATTTAGTCACATAAATACATAATATTGATACATTATGCAAGACTGACTGTTGAACTAAAGAACATGTATTTGGGGTACTAGATAAGATAAATGTACAGATTTTTTAGCTTAATGCTTGATATGAGATGTCTTTCAGAATTAACTTTAGGCAAGTCATAACAAAGGAAAAGGAGTGATGTTGTGCGGCAGAATTTGTGTGCTATGTATTAGCACTTCACTTGAAATAATGGAAATGGATTGTTATTGAAGTGTAGGGCGTTGTTGTACTCTATCTCAGCAAAAGAGAGGTTCACATAAAAACTCTATTTTTTGGAAAATTTGATAAATTCCCTGGGAGGGATGGGATGATGGGGGACAGAGTCAGCAGTTTAATGCAAGAAGTATAATTTTACTAATGGAAGATTATTGACCGTCTATACTTTTCTACTACTTTTACCTGGCACTCGATCTCACTGTTAAATCAAAAGTCACTTTTTCTCATGCGAGCCCTATATTGATACCATCTACCTTGTAAGAGTAATACAAAATGAATTTTCCTTTGTAATTGGGTGACAAGCCATTGTATATGGGTAGATTGAAGGGCATGTTGTACAACTTATAAACCATGGATTTTCTATTTTTTACATCATGTGTATATCACTTGTATGACACCCATCTCACAGTTATTTTTCTCGGAGACATAGCTTGTCTATGTGCAATGGCGGATTTGGAATTTAAATTTTGGGTGTCAAGTACTTTTTTTACCACTAGAAATTTAAAGAGTAATAATTAATTATACCCGTACTAAATTTACACCTATATTACCTACATGTTTTTCAATAATTTGGGTGCTCGTGTGAACCCCTTTGAATAATAGTGGCTCTGCCACTGTCTGTGTGCACACAAGACATGGTGTTTTTGTGAGAGCAAACATCTTTTTTGTGAGAAGAAAGATTAAGGAATCTTCAGCATCCAAAGGGCATTTTAACATAAAGATAATCTTGTCTTGATAGAGATCATGTTTCTTAATATCTCTTTCAGTTATACTTGTAATTCTTTATATTTCTTGTTGTTAGGACTTAGGAGACTGTGACAGTGATTGTTTCGGGAAATGACGATTACAGAGCTAGACGAGTAGCAAATGTGGATGATTTTTCAAAATGTAAAACAGTATGTTCAAAGTTTTTTGGCAGATCCTTTTGGATGTGATGATTCATGCATGTCATATTGGCATTTCAGTTTTTTGTATAATATTTTATGGTGATATTGCATGACACATGTAGATTATGTTTTAACAAGGTGTTTAGAACATAGGTAAATCAAGGAGATGTGATTTGAACGTGGGATATGTTTCCAGAAGAAAACATTGGCAGGTAAAACATATTCATATGGCTTGCTAAAGTTCTCCCTCCACAACGAAAAGAGCTTTAGAATTGTGAACTCTGAAACTATATCCACTGAGTTGGACATAACAAGATTTTGGATATCTTAACTTCATGTTTCTTAGCTTCTTGTCATTATTTCTCGTCCCGTGTATGTGATCTTTCTATCCCTTTTGTTTTGACATATAGGAGATAATATATTTGGAACAAGTGCCACAGATGCAGCTGAATCTCTATTCAGAGCTTTTGCGCCGGTTATAAAAGCCGGGCTTCCCTGGGCAGCAGTTTTAGGAAACCACGATCAGGAATCAACACTGAATCGTGAAGAATTGATGTCTTTCATCTCCCTTATGGATTACTCTTTGTCAAAAACTTTTCCTTCAGCTGAAGAGGCTGCTTCTGATCCAAGCAACCAAAACCAGGCCCCACAGATTGATGGGTTTGGGAATTATAACCTGAGAGTATGGGGTGCTCCGGGCTCACAGTATGTGAATAGCACTGTCCTTAATCTCTATTTTCTTGACAGTGGGGACAGAGCCGTAGTCCACGGAGTTCGAACATATGGATGGATTAAAGAGTCTCAACTTCAATGGCTTCACGGCATTTCTAAAGGAAATCAGGTATAGCAAGTTCCTATTGCGCACAGAGTCACAGACTTTCCATATTTACATACTACTACATGCATGTATTTACATACTTACATCCTCATTTGTTGAATCCATAGTCACACGGATCACGAATATTAGAAATCCGACATGCGAGGGGGTAGGCTTCTTTGGTACGCTATTTCGGTATGCGGTACGTTGTACCTTTTGTTATGGTACGCTGTACCCTAAACATATTCTACCTCCGTCCCGGTGGACTTTGCCAAGTGCAAAGTAGGTGAGAAATAAGAATAGTAAAAACTGCGTGGTTGAGATTTGTGCAGAAGAGGGAGAAATGTGCAGAACCACGAATTAGTTGCTTTAATAGGAAAGTAGCAAAGTTTTTTGGGACAGCCAAAAAAGGAAAGTTGTCAAAATCCAATGGGACGGAGGGAGTAGAATTTACCAAGTATAAATATAATTAATATAATACTACGTATTAAACAATCAACTTCAATAAAACATTAAACAAACTTACCAAAGTTTGCAGCATCAATAAAAGCTACAGAACAGTTAACAAAGTAAAGAAAGTTTCCAAAATCCCAACAATAGCTTCAACAAAACAGAAAATAAACACAGCTTAAAAACACATTAAACATAGTTTCAACTTTCATCAAAACATAGTTTGCAGCAAACTACTCAATCCTCGGCCCCTTTCTTTTATCATTTGGAGCAACATCTTCTTCTAAGTTTTCCCATTGCAGCTCATCTAGTCTTGCACTTGAGCCTTCCACATACGCACTTTCAGAATTAATCTCACCTTTTATTTGGGCTAGCTTTGTAACTTTGAGAAAGTCGTGATTCGAAACGAATGTTTGAATGAATTAATACCAATTTGTAAGCGCTTTTACAATTCAAACGATTTCTCTTCACAATGTGAATGTAAGATCAAGTGCTCCAATTCCTCTCAGCTGAGTAACTATTTATAGGCTGTGATAGAACCTTTTTTGCAACTTCTTCTAATTCAGGTGTCTTTGAACCATATGTGGGCGACCAATCAATGGCCTCCATAGTCACTACATCCATGTGAGCTGCCGCCATAGCAAACAATTCCTTCTTCATGTGAATTCTTGGAAAAAGTTCTATTAAGAGCCGCTGTTCTTTTGGGGTTTGGTCAGTTTTTTAAAAGCCCCCATCACACCTAGCACAACTTCTTTATCCAAATTCAGAGCTTTTCTAGCAACTCCACCGAGTGGTGATTTCTCAAGATAATAAACATCATAAAATCGCGGTGATAAAGCAAAACCAAAACAATGCAAAGGAATAGTCATCTTCTCTTACCTAGCTAACACAATAGCCTTTACTTCTAAGAAGTACGAAGTGTATTGGTTAGTAGCCACATGATATCTTTTATTTCTCTTAAACATGTTATCCATTTTTTCAAAGATTTCTCTCATTATTTCTCCCAAAACTTGATTAGCAAGAAAATTGGCTTTGTTATTGCAAAAATGCTATAAACATCTTCCCAAATTTCTTCGCTCCTAATAGTATCAACAACTAAAAGTCTAATTACTCTTGTGTTTTCATCCTCTTGCTTTACCTAATCCCTCCAAGAATTATGGGCAATAGTCGCAGCAAAAGCCTCTCTACGATCACTTAATCTTTTCAACAAAATATAGTGGGATGCAAACCTAGCCTCAACAACTCCAACTTTGAATTATCTTTAAAAATTGCCAAGGCTTGGGTGTGATTAAGAAAATACTTAACAAATAACTTTCCCTCTCTTATATGTATTCATCAACCAATCAAGTTCCTTTGCGAGATCTTTAAAAATCAAATTCAAGGTATGCACACAATAAGGAAACCAAAATATGTGTTTGTGTACCTTTTCAATTTCCCTACCACAGGTTGCAGCTTTGCAATTCGCTGCACTGCCAGTCACAATTTGAAGGACATTGTTCGGTCTTACGGTTTCAATTGCTCTAAGAAAGAAATTTGGAATTGCCACACCAGCTTTTCCAATCCAGAGAAGTCCTCACCACACATGAACATTGCACCACGACTATTTACTGCAATGACATTCATCAAGGGTTTGGAAGGTTCCCATGAGTAAATGACATGGTTTTTTAGACATGAGAGGAAAGGGAAAATTTTGAAAAAGTAAACATATAAAGTGAAAGTAATTAAAAGGAGCAAGTTGGGGGAGGGGAATTGTGACACTCGATATGTAATGAATACGAAAGCGAAATTTGAGTCATGGTGCAATTAAAAAGAATAAACTATTTTTTAAAATGGAATGAGAACCTTTAGATGGGACACCCAAATAAGGAAGATGGGAATCTTTCACCGGGATGAAGGGAGTATATGTTTATGGTACACCGTAGCATAACAAATGGTACCGCATAGGCGCATACCAAAGAAGCCTACCCCCTGCATATCGGTTTTTTAATATACTGTCAGGGTTCTGGGATTGAGAACGGGTCCAGGGACGACTTGGGGTAGCAGGGTACCCGGTTGAGGTCATAACCGGCCTACTAGGGTTATTCCTCTTCTTGCCTGTCAGCCCGTGGCTTGAAGAGTGCAGGGAGGGGGAAGTCCGTGACTTCTCTCTCAGAATAATTTTAATGATCAATGATTATTATTCCTCCAAAGAATTATAAATAGGCATTCTGCCTATACATGAATAAGTCCTATTCTAACTAAAACTCTAAATTAAATATAAAGATAACATTAAACTGGACTCCTTTCTAATTAACTAAAACCCTTAATTAAATATAAAGATAACATCAAACTGGACTCCTCTTCTAATTAAATAAAACCCTAAAAATGCATCCGTAACATATTCGCGATCCGCGTTGTCGTATCGTACCGTGATCCATGTGACTATGGTCCATATAGTAGGATGTAGAAATGATGATAGTAATATGCATGCATGACTAGAGTAGGGAGAATATTCTAAAAATGTCATTGAATAAGAGGTATAAAAGGCCATTGAATAAGAGGTTACACTTTTCAGGTTTCAGCGTAACTTTATGATTTGATGATGCATGCGTTGGAATTCCTTTTGTGCATAAGAGCAATATGAACTTAAAAAAGATAACAAAAATTAAGACACTCATATTTCATCCGTGAATTTGTTGGTTTTGTGCTATATAATGAGTAATCAAAACTTTGTGTGAATCTGTATCTTTACATTTGGCCTGTGAAACCTGTGCTCATTTGAGCGTAATGACTGTCTTACCATATTAAGACTTGAAGTTCAATCTTAAAAGATCAATCGGATAAGAGGGTAATCCAAGATCTTATATGTGAGCATCTTTACATCTAGCCTATGTGAGATAATTTTATTAGATTTGATTTCCTTATTTATCACATAATCAAGCTACTAATTGACATTCATCCTGGGTCTCCCTCTTTTCTTGAGATGCTGCATATAAAGTTTGTATCATGACATGGAATTTTCATTGCTAGTGGGAGTCATTAACATGTTGCAGGTCGCAAAATGACAGGAACAATATCAACACTCCAAATTTGAATTAACTGAATTTTCCAATGTCGCCCCTGCATTAACCTTCTTCCACATTCCCATCCCAGAAATTAAACAAGGACCTGTAAAAGGTATTGTTGGCCGATATCAGGAACATGTAGCATGTTCATTTGTGAACTCTGGAGTCCTAAACACACTTGTCTCTATGGGAGACGTAAAGGCGGTTTTCATAGGTCATGATCACACAAACGACTTCTGTGGGAATCTTGACGGCATATGGTTTTGCTATGGTGGAGGTTTTGGATATCATGGTTACGGTGTTGCAGGGTGGCCAAGGAGGGCAAGAGTCATTTTGGCTGAACTTGGGAGAGGGGAGAAGTCATGGAATGGGATAGAGAGGGTCAAGACATGGAAACGACTTGATAATGGGAAGCTCAGCAAGATTGATGAGCAAATCCTTTGGCAGAGGTGAAAATGTTGACCTGTTTGTACCTTGTAACTTTAATGTTGTCTCTTGTGGATAGTTATACCACATTTTAGTTTTTGCAGTTTCTTTGAAAACTTGTGACTGAGAATTCACTCCCACGAAAATTTACTGAATCATATACCATCTATTACGTGAGCTTCTTGTAAATTGCTTAAGGCTGTGTTTGGACTTGGTATCCAGACAAATACTAGTCTACTAGAAACAGGGAAGAAAGTGCAAAGAAAAATTATTATCATGTCAGTTTTGCTTTGGAAAATTCAGAAAATGATATATTATTAATTTTTTCTCATTCTTTTACAAATATTTAGATTTTCAGCTTTTATTTACATATTAAAGATAAGTGAATTTGAAGATACATAAAACAATAACCAATCACGTTTGAACTTCGGACCACTTTTTGTATTTCTTCCCATAAAAGGGTGGCTTAAGTTTATACATGAACTAAAAATTATTTGCATTTACTTTAAAAATTTGAAAAGTCTAAAATTATTTGTTCATAGATGCTAAATTGCTAATATAAAGAAATTTATCATTTGTTATATTGTCGGATCGACGCTCAGTACTCATTTACATATGAACAATGTGTAAAAGATACTAATATAAATAAGGATTATTGCCTATTTTATCCCAAATTATCATCAAATTCACAAATTTATGCTATTCTTTCACTTTTTTTTAAAAAAGACTCAAACTTCGTCTTTTTTAACAATTATGTTTTTTTTTGTTTTTTCCAAAATTACACATTTTTATCAATACCAATAAGATATATGCAATACAAATTTGTAACCTTAAAAGTTAAAACTAGATAGTAGTGAAAAAATATGAAATATAATTATGATTGTATTCTTAAGTTTTACTAATTGTGCTCTTGTGTAGTGTAATTGTGAGAAAAGTTGAAGTTTGAATCTTTTTTTAACAAAAGTGAAAGTACAGAATAGATTTGAGAATTTGATTGTAGTTTGAAATATATTTACCTAATAATAATCCTATAAATAATGTATATTTGGTGCAATGCGATACATGTATTTGATATTATGAATGTTTTAAAAATGTGTGATTAACTTGTAAATATAACACTATCGTACAATACAATACTCCTCTCGTCCCAATTTACTTAGCCATCTTTGACTTTTTCAGTCAAAGGTGGTAAACTTTGACCAATTATTTAAACTAATATATTTATGCAAAATTTAATAATTTATACTTTTATGATAGTATTTTTAACAAAGAACATTTTCATATCATATTCATATTATTAATACTTTTTCTATATAAACATATAATCGGTCAAAGTTAGACGTCATTAACTTGAAAAGTCAAGTTTGGCTAAGTAAAATGGTACGGAGGGAGTACTATTTATCGATACAAAAGTTGAATGTTTGGTGTATATGACTTTATAGAAAATATAAAATGTTAGCCATAAATGTTAAATATGTAAGTCCCGTTCTATAAAGTGCAAATTGTGTATGACAAATATGTAAGGTATGTTATACAAAATGTAAATTGTTATAGTATCAAATATGTAACTCTAACACATTTTTTATCGTAATAATGTAAACAATGTGTGAGGTACATGTAAGGAGGAAATTAAAAGGATGAGATTATGGGTATGTTTTGCACAACTAGATGAAAATTTGATTTATAGTAACTGTTAGCTTTTAGTGACTAAAAAGATTTTAAAAGAAAAAGACGGTAACTATTTGATAAAAAACTGACTGTATGATTTAGTTTTGTTTGATATACAAGTTGTTCAGACTAATTATTATTGAAAGGTGCAAACTTTTGTCAGGTGCTGGTGCATCTCAAAAAAATCTTTTCTTTTTAAAAAACTATTAAAATTGTCACGTCAAACATACAACTAGACGCTTTTAGTGACTTTTTGAATAGTACAAAAATTATAAGATAGAGACTTAATTATGCCTACAAAACCTGCGCCATGAGTAATAGAGAGAGATGCCTAAAAATATTTGATTGCTATTTTTAAAAATATTAAAGCTACCAGCCTACTATTGGAATGCATTTTTCCTCCTAACTTAGCTTGGGCAAGCACGTTATCCTTTGCCTAATTTCCTCACTTTCCTCACTTTTATCCATTAACGAATTCTCTTAAGGAATTCTCAATAATTCGTTAATGGATAGACAGTGCAAAACAGTGCCAAAAATATACGCTTTTGAGTAGTATTATTTATAAGTTACAATTATACGTAGACAAGTACCTTGTGGTCGGCCAACATCACTGTGGCACTTCTAAGGAAGATGTCACGAGTTCGAATCTCATTTTAGTTCAAAGATGTCGGCCTTAACATAGAATATATAAAAGTTCACACAAAAAATTACAAGTATACGTATAATGATTTCATTTTCGGTGATAACAAAGAGAATCTAAAATAAAAATTAAGAATGTTTGCCAGTTTGACTTTTTACGATAAATTTTGAAAATGATGAAATCGAGAATTGAATTTCTATCTAAGTTGGTTTCAGTAACTTTTAGTTGGTTTATTCAGTTTTGGTAAGTTTTGGTCGGCTTTTGTCAATCCCATCAATTTTCAAATCAAATTATAAAGAGAAAAAGGTCAAATGAGGTCTTCTACTAGTATGAAAACGTCACATAAGGCTATGTACTCGGTAAAATATTATATAAATACGTGTACTTATAAAAAGCAATCGGATGAGTCCTAACAACATGTTGACAAACTCGTAATCACAAAAGACCTTATTTGACCCCCTGTTCTCAATTATAAATCGAAGTACCTAGAGCTGGGCAATTCTAGTCATTCTTTGTTTTATTCACTTCGATTTCAGGTGGGGAGGTTTTAATTTTTACTTGAATATTACTAAATTGAAACCAAATTCCAAAAAAGTGACCATTTTTTGAAAAGAACAAAAATGTGACCAACAAGGTCACATATATGGAAAAACATGATGTCAATGCTTTTTTTTATGTCACTGCCAGATTTTATGTCACTATCGTGTGTCACTATTAGATTTTTATGTCATTATAACCGGCGGAAAATTTTCTAGCAACCTTTTCCGGCGAAACTGTACTCCACCGCCAGTGTCCCGTCGATCACATTTTTTCATGTCACTACGTATTTTAATGTCACTATCCAATTTTGATCTCACTTTCGTACATACGGATGTCAGTGCCGCCGGAAAACATGTCACTATGACTGTTTCATACATAGCAAAATTGCAGCCGCCAACACCACGGCCAATCAACCGCCACCCGCGCAACCACCACTGTTAACAACCGTCGCCCTAACCATGACCGCACCGGCCACTCCCTAGCCATCCAGCCCCCTCCCCAGCTCCACCTCAACCCACCAAACCCTGTCCAGCCCAACCACAACCCACCAGCCCGCTGCCCAGCCCCACCACAACCCACCAGCCCCCAACCCCTTCCCGAGCCCACCAGCCCCCTCCCCAACCCCCTCCCCCGCAATCGCCGCCCAGCCCACCGCCTCCCCCCCACAGTCCACCAGCAACCTCACAGCCCCCATGTCAATCTCCCTGATCTGATTTCTCTCACTGTCGAAATCCTAGATCCACAATTAAACACATCATGCCTCACCATTAGTGAAAGAGAAGAAGAAAGAAGGAAAAGAAAAGTGAAGATGGTAAGTCGATGAAGTGTACAACGCAAAAGACGATGAATTGAAGAGGAGGAGAAGAGCGGCGACGAAGAGGAGAAGAAGAGCACCGTAGGCGAACGAAGCAAGAAGGAGAAGATGGTGGATTGTGTAAGCTGCGAAGGAGAGCTGAGAAGGAATAGATGCTCGATTCGGTGATGAGGAGAAGAAGCTTGATGTGCGAAGGGGAGAAGAAGCTCGATGCGGCAAAAGGGGATGGGTCACTTTTTTGGAAAATCAGTTTTGGGTCATGTTTTTGGAATACAAAAGGCCAGGAGTCATATGCGGGCCATTATTTCGTTTTAATATAGACAAATCTATTAATTCGCGACCAAATATGTGATTTAATAAAAATACAACATTAAAAGCAGACATAATCAAAATTAATGTGCTTAAATCTATAATGTTCAAGACTAAATCTATAAATATCTCTAAACTTAAATTAGAAATTATAATACATCATGCCTGTTAATGGGCACGAAACATGATACTCCCTCCGTCCCATTTAAAGCTTCCCACTATTCTTTTTTGAACGTCCCACTTAAAGGTTCTCACTTTCTACTTTAGGAAACAAATAACACTCTTAAATGACAATTTAATCATCAAATACTAAAAACAATGCATTTATAAAATCACAATTATCATCAATAACTCATGTACGCATTAAAAAACAATTTTCTAATTTTATAACTATGGAAGTCGTTATAGTTCTCCTGATACGTAAAAACAATATAGGGAAATTTCTCAAGATATGTCTAAAACATATTGAGATTCCCTAAGTACGAGTAGTTATGTTTTTAGACATTTGTATGACTGAAAATCAAAAATAAAAAGAGAAATTTGTTCATATTAGAATGTATAATGACCAAAATACCCTTGCTAAAAAATGTGCATTTTACACTATTTTCATCCGATTAAAAATACTGCACTTTATAATGCAGTTACTGCACGACATTACTGCACGACATTACTGCACATGTAACACCCCGATTTTTATGAGCTAGTTATATTAATCAATACGGAGTATTATTTATTTTTGTATGTTAAATAAGTTTCTTCTACGACTAATGTGATTTATTATTTGATCACATGTTGTTCTGGCAGGTAACGTTGATCGCTACACTCTAATAATTTTAAATGACAAAATAAGTAATGTTTTAAAGCTTAACAAGTTTATTTTGAAATAGAGAATACTTTAAATGTTGGATTTTTTAAAGAATATTAGGAGCCCAAATCAATGTTAGGCCAAACAAGTCTCTTTTATACTGAATCCCTAGACAAGTAACGCCTCTTTCGTAAGAGCCAAATACTACTCCAATTGATTTCTCCATCCCGGTAGTTCGTATTTTCCTCCCAAAATATTTTCGTCTAAGCCGCTGAAGCTCATCAACTCATCTCAGCCTTGTACAAAAACTCACGTCTGGTAAGTTTAGTTGAACCTTGTGTTTATAGCAACTGCAATTGTAATTGGCTGATTTCGTGTATTGGGTTATAAGGAATGTTTTCATATTATCCAATTCAATTCCTTCATCCAATGGTATTGGGTAAAATAAAAATATAAACAATAGATGAACTTTTGTTTTGTGCGTACGTTTATTTTGGTCAAATCGTAGAATTTGCTATGCTTGGTTTTGGTTGTGGGTTTAGCTGTACGTTCTGGCCAATAAGCCTTCAATATATCTTAGTTTTGATTTGCACTTTCGTAAGCCAAAAAATGGCGAGTTGCATAATGATCTTCTAAGCTAGAGAAAACTTTGTTTTTTTGGTCATTTAGTGGATCATGTTAGTTGTGGCTTACAGCAGGAAATTCAAATCGTACGTGTTAGATTTTTTTTTAGCTAGATTAATGATGGTGGCTTTAGTGGGTTGCTACGCATCAGTAGCATATTTTCTCTAGCAGATCATTGTATTTTTAAAATAAGATTCTTATTAGAATTGTTTTATTTTATTAAAGAGTTTTAAGAAGAGCTTACCGGAAGACGTTATCAAGGTGTCACATTTATTTGCGTATTTCCAGTTCAGCTCCTTATAGGTAAGTTCACTACCACCTGTACATGTTTGTTCAACCAAATGAAAGAATGAAGTCTGATTGATTTTTAGTAGATGATTTTAGACTATTTGCTATTATGTGAGCTTGGTGAATTATTTGATGAGTCATTTTATTTGTCGTATTAAGTTATGTTTATTATCTGGCATAGTAAGGATTATGTCAATACTTTTATTTTAAGATTTTAATGATGTTTTTATCCATACGTCACCGTAAAAAGAACTAATATTTAAAATGAAAGATTAAGTGATATATACTCGGGAACAAGTGCCCACAGAGTTATCAGAGTTTCAGAGAGTCCGATATGTTTAGTGGGTCGCTCACCTGAGCTGTCAGATTGGCGCCTTTGAGTACATATCACGGGCCCACAGAGTTAAAACTAACCAAAAAGAGTTTTACATAAAGTTTATGAGATCTCTTTCAGAAAGTTTTACAGAAATGTTTTGAGAAAGTATTTTGAGATCTCTCATCAGTTTAAGAAATTATTTTCAGAAGTGATGGAGTATATGGGTCTAGGCCTTAGGACCCACATACTCAGAAGAACAGAAAGTATAAGCCACTAAGTGGTGCCCTCGTCGACCAAAGGACCCCCGTTGGCCGAAGAGGGACCAACTCAGGATATGATCCCGAAGCCAAGGAACTAGGGTGCCCCCGTCGGCCGTGCCCTCATCGGCCGTGCCCTCATCGGCCGTGCCTTCATCGGCCGTGCCCTCGTCGGCCACGGAAGCCTCACAGAACTAGATTTTACACTTATTCATTTGTATACTCCATCATTTACTTTGTATTCGGCCCAATAGCGGTCCAGTGGTAAATGGGCCTCCCAAGTCCAAGGCTTGGGAGCCCAGCCCGTATTTTTCCTATAAATACTTTCTCTGGAGGTAGTTGTAGGGGTTGGAAAATCATTTAATGAAGCATTTACTTGCACTTCTCTCTCTAGCTCTCACCTCTCTCTAGAATATACTCTATCATTTGGTGCTCTCGTTGAGAGCTAGAACAATCAAGTTAGCATCCTTCGTCGCTACTAAGCTATCATGGGAAGAACTAGGTCAAACCGCAACCTCGTCAGCAAGGCCATCCCTGAGGATCAGGAGAACAGGGAGCGTGAGGAGGACGCCACGGTCGACCAGGTCGGAGGAGGGGATGTCTTCCAGGAGGCCATCAACCTCACGGCGGACCTGCGCAACAAGCTCAACGGCCGTGCCCTTGATGCCCGCATCGGCCTGGATAAGAAGCGCGCAGAGAAGGCAGACAACGCCCCAGCCCAACCGTTGACCACGACTTCTCCGTCTATTGACCCACAGGTTCAGGCCGCACTATCGGTCATCATCGCCAGCTTGGCTCAGAACCCCACCGTCCTCAGCGCACTCATGCCAAGGACTGGGGGAACGTCACTCCACCTCCTCAGCCCCAACCGTTGGCCACCAAGCTAGGCAACGATGAGGGGGTGATAGCCCAGGACACGTCGTCGTCCCACTCCCATCCTGCTTCCCCTCTTCGGCCCGGACCGACCCCAGCGCGTGGAAAAGCCTCTGCCTTCAAATAGGCTGGGTGACACGTGCCGTCATCCGGTTTCGGAGAGGATGGCGGGATGGATTGGTGAACGCCGGCCTGGTTCGCCAAGGGAAAGCCTGGGGTCTGTGTCCCGGACAGCGGACCAGCCCCACCTGAACAAAGGCAAGGGAAAGCTGCACGAGGACGACGTGCGCCACCAGATCAATGCGGCCCACGAGGTGCGCATGCAGAACCAACAGGGCGCCACTACGGCCGCCAGGGACCCTCGGGACGAGGTTATCGCCCAGCTGGAAAGGAGACTGGCCCATATGGAGGCCAGACAGTCGGCGAACATTCCCACGGCCGGTGCCTCCAATGACCCCGGCCTCAATGCACTCATGAACAAGGTCAGCGCCCTTGAGAGGGAATTGGCTGAAGGACGAGGTGACCCTGTCACCCAGTTCAGGACCAGGACTCCCTTCACTAACAGGGTGCTCTCAGCTCCCATCCCGGAGAAGTACAGGGGAAACGCCATCAAGACCTACGACGGTCGCTCTGATCCCCAGGAGCACTTCAGCCGCTACCAGAACAACATGCTGATGGTGAACGCGTCGAATGAATACCTCTGCCGTTGGTTCCTCTCCACTCTTGAGGGACCAGCGTACGAGTGGTTCAACGCGCTCCCCAAAGGAAGTATAGACTCATGGCAGGACCTTGCCCAACGCTTCCTCACTCACTTTGCTGGGAGGAAGCGGGCGAAGAAGTATTTCACCCATCTCCTCTTCGTCAAGCAGCAACATGACGAATCCCTTCGGTCATTCATTGATCGGTGGACGAGGGAGACCGAAGAGGTCGAGGGGGCCGATGAGCGCACCCTCCTCGTCCTTTACCAGGGAGCTCTCCGCAGCTCCCCGTATGCCAGGAGCCTCATCACTGACCCTCCGAGGTCGTATGCAAAGGCGCTTCAGCGCGGGAGTTTGTACGCCGATGCCGACGAGCTCCACAACCACAGGAAGGACGGAGGCCACCCCTCTAAGAAAACAAATCCTTCGCCGGCCCCGGGAGCATCCCCGGTCGCCCAGGGTGCCCAGGGCCGTCACGGCTCTGGTGGACAAAGCAAGAAAGACCGCCATTGGCGGACGAGGTTGGAACGGCCGGGAGTCCCCCTCACACACCCGGTCAGCACCATCCTCGACTATGCCGAGAAGCACGGTCTCATTGAACAAGCTCCTCGGCCGACGGAGGAAATCCATGCCATCCAGCAAGGCGGTACCTACTGCCGGTTCCACAAGAACGCCTCACACAACACCGACGACTGCATCACGCTGAAGAAAGCCATCGAGCGCCTGATTCGTCAGGGGGAACTCTCCCAATTTGTTAAAGGTGGCCCGCGCAAAAATATGTGGGTAAACACCGGCAGATCTGGGGGCGAACCCTCTACGAAGAAGTGGGAGATCGGTAGGCTCAGCGACGACGAAGACTTTGAGGAGCCTCCACCAAAGAAGAACCACATTCACCTCATCGTAGGTGGGAACACCGGGGGGGACTCCGTCACCCAGAGGAAGAAATGGGCTCAATCCCTTTACATTGGGGAGGTGTCTCACGTTCCCCCCAGCCGAAGAAGCAACGAATGGAGGCGATCACTTTCACCGACAAGGATCTGCCTCCAGGTACGGAGTCACACAGGGACGCCCTCGTCATCCGGTGTGAGATCGGTAATTCCATCATCCACCGCACTTACATCGATACAGGGAGTTCTCTCAATGTGATGTACCTAGACACCTTCAGGCAGCTGAAGCTGGACAAAGCTCTGCTGAAGCCGATCAAGACACCGTTGTCCGGTTTACCGGGGACTCTATCGACGCCGAAGGCACGATAGTCCTCCCCGTGGAGGTTGGCGACGGCTCCCACCGCGCCAAAATTAACATGGAGTTCATGGTGGTCAACCTTCAGTGCGCCCACAACCTGATTTGGGGGCGGCCAGCACTGGAGGACCTAGAGGCCATCATCTCCATGAAGCACTTATGCTTGAAGTTCCCCACCAGTGGCGGCATCGGTTACGCCAGAGGAAACTATAGGAGTCAGGGCATGCTACCTCAAGCTAACGAAGCCGGCCGAAAGAGAAGGACAAAGAATAGACACCATCACGGCGACCGTCGCCAAGGACGAGGAGAGGCCGCATGCCGAACCAGCCGAAGAGGTCGAGGAGATCCCCCTGGATACCTCTCGGCCGGAGCGGGTCCTCAAAATTGGGAAGCAACTCCCGCAGGACCAGCGAGACGCCATCCTCCTCGTCCTACGGTCATATGCCATCATCTTCGCGTGGGGCCCGGACGACATGTTAGGCATCAGCCGGAAGGTGATCACCCACCGGCTGACCGTCGATCCGGCCTCCGCACCTGTCAAGCAGAAGCGACTCTAATTGTCCGCCGACAGGCGGGACTTCGTCAAGGGGGAGGTCACCATGCTCCTCTCAATCAACCACATCAAGGAGGTGAAGTACCCGACGTGGCTAGCCAACGTCGTCCTCGCCCAAAAACCGCCGGCATTCAGAATGTGTGTTGATTACACTGACCTTAACAAGGCGTGCCCCATGGACCCGTTCCCTCTCCCCAACATTGATCAATTGGTGGACGAGATGGCGGGATGCGAGTTGATGTCGTTCCTTGACGCCTTCAGAGGATACCACCAGATTTTCATGCATGAAGATGACGCTGAGAAGACGGCCTTTATGACCCCGGAGGGAATTTTTTGCTACCTCATCATGGCTTTCGGACTCAAAAACTCAGGCGCCACCTACACCAGAATGGTGGCTAAGATCTTCAGGACGGTCCTCGGCCGGACGATGGAGGCATACGTCGATGACATGATTGTCAAAAGCAAGCGGGTCACCACACATGCTGACGACCTCCAGGAAATTTTTGAAATCATGAAGGAGTTCAAACTCCGCCTCAACCCCAAGAAGTGCGCCTTTGGCGTCCAAGGCGGCAAGTTCCTCGGCTACATGGTCAGCCGGAGAGGCATTGAAATAAATCCGGAGAAGATACAAACCATCATCAATATGGAACCGCCCCGCAACATCAAGGAGGTACAGCGGCTAACAGGACGCCTGGCAGCCCTGAGCCGTTTTCTCTCCAAGTCAGCCGAGAGGTCACTTCCTTTCTTCCAGATCATGCGCAAAGCAAACAGCTTAAGTGGACGACGGAGTGCCAGGAAGCATTTGAAGAACTAAAGAGGTACCTTTCGTCCCCGCCGGTGCTCTCCAAGCCCAAAACCGGCGAAACCCTCTTCTTATACTTGGGGGTGAGCACGTCGGCCATCAGCTCCGTGCTCATCCACGAGGACGAAGGGATGCAGAAGGCCATATTCTACATCAGCAAAACACTCAGAGAGGCCGAGCTCAGGTACTCCCCCATTGAGAAGACGGTGCTAGCCATCGTCCATACGGTGAAAAAGCTGGGGCACTACTTCCAGGCCCACGTCGTCCACGTACT